ACATGACCGTGCAAACAAAAAGCCTAATTATTTTTTTGGTTTCCCGTTCGTTATCCAGATTTCGTCCTGACTAATCCAGATTCGATCCACATCACGTACCTAAAAATGTTGGTAACAAAATTTCAAACTTGAGATCTTACTTAAGTTAAAATAAATCACTTACCACTTGATCCAATTTCTCGTTGGTATAAAAAGCGTAATATTATTATACAATTTTAAGCTAAATGTATAAGATAATTTTTTTAAAAAATTTTGATTGTATAATAATAGATATTTATTTTTTATTTTTTATCTAATTTTATCTATTTATTATATAATTTAAATTAAAAAATAAATATTAAATTACTTAAATAGTTTACGTAAGATAATTCTTAATTCGTTATATATTCATGGAGGATAGACAGCAAAAATGTGTTGTACAACATGATGTGTCGAGCCATTGAGAGTATTTTTTAATGGGCAAAGTAACTATAAATTTCTTGAAAGTCTTCAATGCAAAGCACGAAGCTTTTGAGAATTCCAAACTGACATCCAAATTTCTCATGATATATCAAATCCCAATCCTCGTTGACCTTCATCTTCACCAAGGAAACCATAAAACAGGGTACTAAATTTAGTCTCGGAAGCAGCTGATTCCCTCCTCCCCACAAGAAACGATGGGTTATTTGACCGAATTGCGAATATCAACATCCTCCTGCGGACAACCAACGGCATGTCACATGCGGGTTTCGAATATCTATTGATCGAATGGCGGTTGGCCATCTAGTTTTTGTGTTTTACATACTTGAACTTGGAGCTGAACTGAAAATAGTAGAAATTGAAAAGATTATTGGGTTTTCGACTTTAGAAGATTTTATGGCGGTGGAAGGAGAAACCTCTGCCAGCAACGTGGTGGCTGCTGCCGCTGCCGCATATCCTGGTGTTTCATTGCTGTGGAGACGTGTCGTGGCCGTTCTCGTTTTTCTACTCCTCCCCTCAGTTGCTGTCTGCTCTGCTCCCTTGTCCCAGCAAGATTCCAGAAGCAATTCATCATCCCATCGCCTACTAGCTAGCACTAGCACAAACATGGTACTTTGACTCTTTCTCTCTCTTCATGTTTATAGACATTGAAAGTTTTGAAGTTTGACTTTAACATTCACAAAGAGGAAAGATGGGTTGCATGAAAAATTGAAGTTCTGATGTTATAGTGCAGTGGAAATTGAATTGTGTTTGTGTAGTATAATGTTTACAAATTACCTTCTGTTTGTTTTAATGCCTTAGTTATTTATTCCCACTTCCTTTGGATTCCCATTGAAATGAGAAAAAGTAGAAAGCTTGAAGTTTAGTGGTTGTATGATTCATGGTTTCTACTCCATCTTTGAAGATGATGGAAATATGTCATATCTTATGTTTTAGTTATGCTCTATAGGTGGTATATGGTACATTTGGTACATATCCATCTTTGTGTTCTAACATTTGTAAAACAGGTGAGAACTTATAAAAGGGTTTGGAAAATGTTCTATCAGAAACTTCAGGTTCATTCCAATAATATTGCATCCAGGTAAAATGCATCTAAAGCAGACGTAAAGAACTAGTAATCTTTTCCTTTCCCTTTTGAATGGCAGGTTTGCCCAACATATCCTATGCGCAATGATCAGGACAGGGCAAATAGCACTGCAGGTTCAGAGAAGGTCATTAAAGCTTCATGTATTAGAGATGCATTGAAATTGTTGGATGCCAACTTCTTCAATGATACCAAGGTTAGTTTGATTGACCTACAAATTTGAAGCAATGGTGTTCATTTTTTGAAAATCTTACTTATGTCTTCAATGTAATTTCTTTTAGGTCCTGGAGATTGAAAAGGGTGCATTAGAGTTCAACATTCCTATAATAAGAGCCAACAGGAAGTTAGTTGCTTCTGTTGATGGAGGGCTACATAATCCATCTCCTTTGGTTTTTAATCCTCAGTGGAGGAGGGAAAAGTCACAAGGCAAATGCAAAAGATTTAGTCATTCTACTGTTTCTGGAATTCAGAGGCCAAAAAGTGAGGAAGATATTGCCTTCATGACTGTAAGACAGTTGGGCCTGTTCTAAAGTTGATTCATTAGCCATGGTGCATGATGTCCTCCTTCATTATATGACTTCTTTTTGGCCTTCCTTCATTATTTGATTTCAGTTGACCTTTTTCAGGTTCTTGAGTTGGGAGAACTTATTAAAACAAAACAAATCACTTCTGAGGGGCTTACAAGGATTTTTTTGGAGAGATTGAAAAGGTAAAAGATGATAAAAATGTTATTGATGGTTACACACTTATATTATCCCTGTTTATTTTGTCTCTGTTTACACATTGGGTAAAAAAAATCAGATACAATCCTGTTCTTGAAGCTGTGGTTACTTATACTGAGGATTTGGCTTACAAACAAGCAAAAGAAGCTGACAAATTGCTTGCTGAAGGAGTCTATTTAGGTACCTCCTCAGTTTCTCCACTGTCATTCATTCCTAGTGATTTTGAATGGAAATAGTATGTCTTGCTCTTAGGATGTTAATTCACTGAACAATTGCCCAATAAATTTGCAGACTACTTTTCTCCCACCATCCCCTGCTCCCCCTGCTTCACTGTCTTCTTCCCACCTCTGTTGTCTGAGTTATTCATCCTTATTAGGGCCTTGGAACTGCTTGCCTAGTATTAAAATGGACTTGTTAGTTCTTTTGCATCACCTAATTGACACTATAGTTCAAGACTTCCAGAGTGAAAAACTATTTCTATTTTTTGTTTTAGGACCTCTGCATGGCATCCCTTATGGGTTGAAGGATATAATCTCAGTACCAGGCTACAAGACAACTTGGGGATCAACAACTTTTAAAAATCAAATTCTGGATATTGAAGCCTGGGTATATAAGAAGTATGAGCATCAACCTAATCATGTAAACAACATTGGGAGAGTGAAATTTGGGCAGATGAGCTAAGCAATTTTTTCACTTCTCATTTCTCTATGCAGGTTAAAATCTGCTGGAGCTGTCCTTGTTGCAAAGCTTGTCAGTGGATCATTGGCCTATGATGACATCTGGTTTGGTGGTAGGACTAGAAACCCATGGAATATTGAGGAATTTTCAACTGGTTCATCAGCAGGGCCTGCTGCCTGTACCTCAGCTGGTATTCTTGAGTTTTCATGGCATCACTGTTTACAGTTCATTCTATCCTTTCTTTCTCCCTTGCACGTGTGTTCATGTTTATCTACATAGGAAACCTTGAAAAGCTTTTATCAGAGGGTCTCCATTAAGCATGGAATGATTAATATTGAGGGTTTTGGCACTTACTAAGCCAAATCATCTTTGCATAATCAAATCAACCAAATATGCTTGGCTCAAATGTTATTGAAAAGACATAGACATTTCTCCATCTAAGAAACTTGATCGCTGCAACAGGCATGGTTCCATTTGCAATTGGTTCGGAAACAGCTGGGTCCATATCCTACCCTGCAGCTCGGTGTGGTGTGACTGCTCTGCGTCCAACTTTTGGTACTGTTGGACGAACTGGTGTAATGAGCTTATCAGAAAGCTTGGTAATATTGTGTAACTGTGGATCATTTTTAATCTCCAGAAGGAAATTAACCCCACCCCTTCCTTTATGTCCTAACCAGTTCAATGCACTCACAGGCACAAACTCAAACTCATATAGACAGTTAGAAGGGAGGGCTATTGATAGCTTTACAACTAAAGTCCTCGCTGTTTAACAGGATAAGCTTGGCCCCTTCTGTAGAGATGCTGCCAGTTGCGCAATTATTTTGGATGCCATCCGTGGGAAGGATCCAGATGACCTTTCATCACGTGACATCCCCTTTGATGACCCATTCTCGGTTGATATTACGAAGCTTACAGTTGGTTATCTTGAAGATGCTGAGATGGAGGTAGGTTGGCTTGTTTGATTATTTTTCATATCATAGTACTAAATGTAAAGTTTGTATTCTATTGGATCACTAAAAGCTTAAAAATCTCCGAGTCCTCTGGGATTCATTAGTAGGGCCTGAAGGACTTTCATCCTCAAAGGTTTACCATCAGCATAAAAGGTGGTTTGGTTTCACACTTGTTGAACAAAAATTGACCCAAGTGCAAGACTAAATTGTATCTTGATTTACTAAAAATGATAGGTTTAAGATACTGTTATAATTTTTGTTTGACATCTTGAAATCAGGTTGTTCATGTGCTTGCATCAAAGGGTGTCAATGTAGTTCCTTTCAAGCTGAATTACACTGTTGACTCTGTCCAAGGTATACTGAATTTCACAATGGATGTGGACATGTTGGCACACTTTGATGAATGGCAGCGCTCATTACAAGATGATGTTTATGAAGCTCAAGATCAATGGCCAGTGGAATTACGTCGTGCTCGTGTAGTGTCAGCAGTAGACTATATGCAGGTTTGGTATCTACTCTCTGAATATTGGTCACTATTTGATGTTACCTAGCTAGAAATCATTTTCAACTACCTTGCATAGTTTTCTACTAATTACTTGACAGAGTCAGAGACATACTTCTATAAATATTTTCCTTGTATTGGACAAAACAAAAGTAAAATCTATAATGTGGAGAGATATTGGATAAACCACTGAAGGAGAAATGCAGGATGCATAAGTGAATTTTCTTTCAACCTGTATGGAAAACGAAGATTTCTAGCCAGTATTCAGTTCATACTGTCAAATTATGGACCATGTAATGAATTTCCTATTCTAAATGTCAGTTTTAATAAGTTAATTTCAATTCAATAGTTTGAAGAGGATAAGCTTGCAACCGTGGAGTAATGTCCTTTAAAAGTAGCCAATGTAGTGATTAATACTGAAAAACCAGAAATGTTGAAACTTTCTTCTTTTTCTTTTTTGAACTTCTTGGGATAACTCCTGCACTCGAATAAAGGTGGTTGATGTTGCTGTTCACAGGCACAAAGAGCTCGGGGAAAGTTAATTCGAGAAGTGAAAGAAAGTTTTACTGTTGATGCATTTATTGGCAATGTGACTGACTGGGAGAAAGTTTGCCTGGGAAATCTTGTTGGCCTACCGGTGATTGTTGTCCCAACTGGATTGAAAAACATATCAGATCCACCATCCGGTCATACTCGTAGAAGAACCACAGTCAACACTGGCATTTATGCGCCTCCTGACCATGACCACATAGTAAGCTCCTTGCGTGGAATACATGTGCAATTTCTTAAACGTTGTTTTATTTACCTTCCGAGATCATCAACCTGTTAGATTCTTTCTTCTATGTACTTTTCAAACCGTATTCCCATGTGACATTTCATGAAATTGGTTGAGCTTCATAAGGGAGGCAAATCGGTGATATCACTGACATGTATGATGATCCTATTGCATCTATGAAACTTAAGGCATAACTAATTTACCACTTCTGTTTTCCCTTTTTTATGCAGGCATTAGCATTGGCAATGGCTTATCAATCAACAACCAATCATCATAAGCAGCGTCCACCTATCGATGATCTTGGACCAAACGACAAAATTCCCAGTCCCCCAATGGTCACCATCCCTCCTCGACTGCCGCATGGTTAAGAGACTTTACCTCAGAAGCTTGGTGCTTGCTTTGCAGTCCTGAAGGCAGCAGGTCCACCATTATTCATTAATGTGACACCATGAAATACTAGATGTCAATGAACTTTTAAATCCTTTTTATTTTTATATGCGTCATATGGATGATCCCCTGTTAAAGTAGACTCATTTGATTCTCGAGCATGAAACATCACTTTTTGCAGAAAAGTTTCTGCGCGGCATAGCATTATGCTCTACTTTGGGACTTTTGGTCATGAATTCTTGAAACGATTTTATTCCTTATTTGTCCATTTCCTCAATCATCAGCAACAAAGGATTCTACAAGCATTGAATTTAGCCCATAGTTTTTCTTCTTTTTCTTTTTTTTTTTTTTTTTTTTTTTTTTTTTTGTGAATACTAAATAAAATTATGCTATTAATTAAAAACAAAGGATACAACTAGCGTTTGGATACTCAGTCCCAATACGATCAACACATAATAATGGCATTTGGGCAAACATAAAAAACACGTAAATTTGAAGTAATTAAATGCTCCATAACTACTAATTTATTAGCACACATATTAGCTTCTTCGAAAACGTGGGGCAGTTGAACTCGAGAAATGTTGGTCCAAATTTCTTTGCAATCCAAAATCAGTGAAAACAAAAGTTGATAAAGGAAATGCTTCTTAAAAATAAGATAATAAACAAGAGAATCCATATTAAAAATAAGAAAAAAAAAATATATATATATATATATACAAGAGAATCCATATTAAAAATAAGAAAAAAAAAATATATATATATATATATAAGTTTCAACTTTTGCAATAAAAATTAAAATATTAATCTTTAATGATGTTATTTTATTTATTTAAAATTTAAAAACAGATTAAAATTTTAAATTTTGAATTAAAATTTTAATTTTTAAATATAAATTAAAATTTAAAATTTTAAAAAAAATTTAAACTGATATATACTAATTTTTTATTTAATAAGATCTCACATAAACTTTATTAAATTTCACAAAAATCTAAAACAAGTAACAGGGCTAATCCTCCTGCAGATGGTACCGGAGTTCGATTCCGGATGCTCCACTCCTTCTAAACCAAAAAGATCTAAACACAGGTGAAATAAATCAAAAAAAGGAAAACGTAGGTCTTTTTTTTTTTTCAAAATGAAGAAAAACATGGTTAAATAGGCTGTTCGGTGTTCAGGTGGGGAGGCAGTAGTTAAAGTAAAATGCGGGTCAATGACAGAATTTACGGAATGTAACAGTTATATCCATTGCGGAAAACAGTAAACGGTAACAAAATGTTCCACCCACGTGTACTTTTCATAATCTAACAAAAGTATTGTGTCAGCGGGTTCTTTGGCGGATTGCCGATCAAAAAGAACAACTCAAAAGTCAAAACTGAACCAAAATATCGTCGGCCGAAAAGAAAAATACAAACTATGGATTTTCTTTCCCATTATTCTAGTTCTTTTATAATTTTTTTAATATTTATTTTTTTTATTTGTAAAATTTAAAATTTAAATTTTATTTTAAAAAAATTAATTTTCTTCCATTCAAATTTCCGTGTCCTTTGTTCCCATTACTGCAGTTGTTTAAGGCAAAGTGAATTTGTTGGGTGACATTTGTTAAAAATAAACTCTTACAATATTTCGGTTCAAAAAAATCTTGAAAATCTTTTTTGATTTACACACTTCACTTTAAATCTTACTGAAAACAAGCAAATTAAATTGATGAAATTAATTATAATTTTTAGACATTAAAATCATTAACCCATTGTTTGGTTTAAGGAAAAAAAAAGTAAAAGAGAAACAATAACTTTTCATTTTTTTTTTCTTTTTCTTCTTTTTTTTTTTATTGTTTGGTTATACTAAACTTATAAAGAAAAATTAAGGGAAAGCTCTTTTCTTCTCCTCTCCTTGAATTCTTTCCTTGAATTCACAGTAAATAAATTATAATTTTTTAGAAAACAACAACGGAGGTTATATATAAAGTTAATTGTTCAATATTTTTAAATTTTTTCAATTTAACTTTTTGATTGAGTCAAAATAATTATCAACTTACCAAAAATTACTTACAAATAAAAAAATTATTTCAATTATAATTTATTTACTATCAACTTAAAGTGCCTGTCAAAGTCAAAATAAAAAAGAAGAGAGCATTAATTTTTGAAGTTGTAAGATTTAATTTTAAATAAAATTGTTTCCTCATCCACCAAAACAGTAATGATATATACAATTTACTTATAATTTTTATAGATTTTTAAATAAATAAATATATAATATTATTTCTTAAAAAGAATTATTTTTCATTATTTTTAGTAATTTTAATTTAATTTTTAAATTTTTATACATACATTTTAGATAAAAATGTAATAATTTATTTAAATAATAATTAAAAATTTTGTAATTATTATTTATATAAATTATTAAATTTTCATTTAAAATATATATTTAAAAAAATAAAAATAAAATAAATCTATTAAAAATAAAAAAATTATTATTATTTGTAAAATTATCCTTCTGAAAAATCAATATACAATAAAAATTACATCTAAATCATTTTACCCTCCGAAATATGCAATGTTTAACAAACAACAAAAATTGTACTCAGTCGTTCCCAATTCAATGCTGGTGGATTAATTCAATTCAAACAAACAAACAAACGCATTCAATGCCAAAACGGCTCGTCGTTATAAATGGTCTCCTTTCCTTGTCAGGCGTCCAACATTTGAGTTACGGACCCAAGCTAGTATATTAATTATATCTTTAAGAGCCTTTTTTTTTTTTTTTTTAAGTTTTTTTAATTTATATTTTAAGAATGAAAATTAAAGGTATAGTAAATATATTTTTATAAAAATTGATATTTATTTTAATATTATTAATAAATTAATACTTTTAATATTATTAATAAATTAATACTTTTAATGCACATGACCCTGTGGCTTAGTGGCAATAGTCACCCGGTGCATTCCTCTTTCTCGGGTTGGGTTCGAATCCCGGCCCTTGCAAATATGTTCAAAAAAAAATTAATACTTTTAATTAATTAATTAATTTTACATTAATATTTATTATTATTATGTAAATTAATTATAAACAATATTAATTACATTTTTGAACCTGTGCTCCACCTAGGTTAAGCAGATTATTTTTTAAATTGTATTTTTGGATAAACTAAGAATATTTTTTTTATCATAAATATATATAAAAAATAAATATTAACAATAATTTTAGTGTAAATATTAAATAGGTAAATTTAATTTTACATTTAAAATATTAAAAGTCAATTTTTAATTTTTGATACTTATTTATAAAAAAATATATATATTACACCTTTGATATATAATACATATACATTTTCATTATAAATATACACAAAAAAATTTAAATATTGTTATTAATTTTAATAATATTATATTTTAAGTTAGAGTTGTTATATTTGAGTTTTAAATCAAATAAAGAAAAATTTGAAAACAGGAGGCTATCTTTATTTGATCGGTTTATAATTATATGTATCAAAAAATATTATTACAAAAAAATAAATTTAATTAAATAATAATAAATTAAAATTTAATTTTT